CAGAGTGGTTGTGGCCGAGGTGGGGAAATCACTGGCCAGAGGAATCGGGGCTGTCGTGGGTGAAGCCTGGTCAGAGTGGTAGGACTGATGAGATAGACTATAATGACTAGGACTGTGATGGAAAATCAAGGGGCTGTGTGGGCCCAGAGGAGCCACCCGACCCAACCTGGGGGGCAAACTGGGCTCCCTAGAAGAGATCGTGTGTGGGCTGAGACCTAATGGATGAGTTAGTGGGGCAAAAAGAAAAGCATGCGTGAAGGCCTGTGTAAAGGCCTTAAGTCAAAGAGAGGGCCTGGCCTGCCCACCAGAACTGTGAGACAAGTCAGCAGTGTTCAGATCCCAGAGGGCTCTGAGGGCTGAGCTGGGGAGCTGAGCAGAGGCAGTGGCGAACCCCGGAGAATCCTAGGTAGGGGAAGGACAGGGTCAGATTTGGTTTTTGGAAGGTCTCCATGGCCACTGGATGGGGAGACTGAGGCTGGAAGGCCAGGACTGGACCAGGAAAGGATTGGCAGGGCTAGGAGGAGAGTGGCTAGAAGCAGAAGTGGTGGTGACCAATGGGATGTGTTTATTTCGGGGGGGGCGGGGCGGGTTGTGGGGATTGGGGAGATGACAGTGAGAAAGTAGTGAAGGAATCCAAGGTAACACAAGTTTGAGGCTTGTAAGCTCCCTAAGGGCTCACCACGTTTCCCAGGGAGAAGGAACCCCGTGATGGGACAGTGGATGGGAGCGAGTTTGGAGGAGGATACAGAGGCCAAGGTGAGTCCTCTCAGACATGCCATAGCAGGCTGGAGACAGATGTGGGCATCACTGCAGAGACAGAGCTGAGGCAGGAGCTGGGGGTGCTGTGGCGAAGAGGAGAGAAGCCCAGGGCTCAGCCAGAGAGAGACATTAAATAAAGGGTTAGCAAGGCATGAGGGGGGTCCAGGAAAAGGTGTAGCCAAAGGTGTAGGAGTTTCTGGCGGTTAGAGGGTTAACTTTTCAGGTGAGTGGGTGTGAGGAGGAGCCTGTGTTTAACCTCCAGAAGTTGGTTGGGACTAAACCTGTGAGGATGCCCTTTGCAGTGGTGGCTGCAAAGGACTGAAGGAATGGAATCTGAGTGGAGACACCTGTGAAGGGTGGGGGGCCGGGGACCGCCTGAGCTGGAAAAGATTTTGACACCCTGTGTCAAGGAGCCTCCTGAGAGAAAGGGTGCTGAGAGAGGAGAGAGCCCAGAGGCAGTTTGTTAGTTAACAGTGGTTTAAGAAGCAATGGTTAAAGCAATACTTTGGAGGGTGTCTGTGGTCACATCCAGCTCACTTTTAAATGCTGTAACCCTAAGCAAAGAAAGAGAAATTAATTCCCCAAAGGACATTTATTGAGTACCTGCTATGCCAGGCTGTGTTTTAGGAACAAATAGCCCCTAGGATCGTGGGACCGAAGGGACTCATGAAAAACACTTAAGACAGTAAAAGCACAGTCACTGAGCTGGTTTATTACTACCACTTGGACACAAGTGTGTTTTAAAGAGGAGCCCCCAGGCAGCCTACCTCACAGGAGCTATATTAGCTCCTACTCTCCGTCAAAGTCCCCCAGCCCTCACGTGGGGTCTTCTCCGGGCCAGCTCAGAGGACTGGGCCTAGGGACTGCTTCTCCAGGACTGCTTCTTTGGGATGGGGAAGGAGAATGGAGAGGGTCCCTGCAAGGCTGGGTGCCGTGGGCTGCAGGAGCAGACACAGGTGAGGCTAGGACTCTTGATTGCTCAGGTGTTTTGGTGACTATGCAGACAGTCCAATGAGTTCCACCCCCACCTGGCTGTGGTGGAGGCAGGGCCCCTCTAATAGTAGAGTTCCTGGTCCCACCAGCCTGGGAGAGAGAGAGAAAAAGAAGACTCAGTGCTGGGGGAGGTGGGGCCAGGGGCTCAGAAGTTATGGATCAGTGGTGGCTTGATTTGGAGGTCAAGTGTTGAAAATCAAAAGTCAGAGCAGCTGCTCTGGGAACATTTCAGCCTCCCACCCCCAGTCTCCCCACTCACTCCCTGGGCAACAACGAACTCCAAGTTTCCGGAGCTCATCATAGACGAAGATGAGGAGGCCAAAGGGCATGGGAACCAGCCACCACTGGAACCTGAAGACACAGGGGATTTGGCAAGGTAAAGGCTATCCCCAGGTCTGTGTCCCACGTGCCCATCCTACTCATTTCATGACCCCTCACCGAATGGGCATGAAGTTGAAGATGTTGGGCATTCCAGGGCAGTAGCACAGGAAGCAGCCAACGCAGACCTGGAACACAATGGCAATCACCAGGATCTTGTTCCTGCAGGTAGGACAGGATGGAACAGGCTTAGACTGCTGGGCTCAGAACAAAGGCCATCAGGGATTGGGGGCCAGATGGAAGAGTACTAGGTCAGATATCAGCAGGGAGATGTTCTAAACATTTAACACTGGAGTAGCCCGCGCCTCTGCAACAGTGCATGCTGGCCCTGCCAGCATCACCCCTTTAGTTGATAAAACCTGGAGGAGCCAGTTGAGAGGCACATGGTGGGAGCTACTGGCTGGCTATCAGTAAGGAGTACTGGCACCAGTAGAACCACACGTCTGGTGCTAGTCTTGCTGGCTGCAGTAAGCCCTAGTCAGGACCTGATGGGATTTGGGAAGGCACAGGCCTGGGCCAGCCAAAGACACCTGAAGAAGCCCTGCTGGAAGGCAGAGAGGCGGCGTGTCTTCCGGATGAGGACATCGGCGATCTGGCACATCTCGATGCTGATGAAGAACACAGTGTAGCAGGTGTACTGCTGGTACAGGCGCTGCCCGAATGTCTGTGGGAAACAAAAGCAGCCTGAATCCAGACAGAGAGGCGCTGCAGCCATCCAGGTACTTGGCGCCTGGAGCCATGAACCCCTAAATGCTCTTTCCCCTGTATCAGAGCCTCGGAGGGGTCGGGGCGGAGAAATGCAGGATCTGCCAGGTTTGCAGGACCCCATGCTGTGAGACCCAGACACCTTGGTCTAGTGGAGCTTGGATGTCAGTGTGTGGGCAGATGACAGGTCAGGCCACTTGCTTTCAAAATGAAAGAAGGGATGTAGAATTTCCTGGGCACACGAAAGAAGGGACCTGGGAAAAAGGAATCAGAATCCCAAGGCAGGATTTGCGAAGTCCAGTGACTCTAGGGCCCAGGTAGATGGCAAAAATGAATGAAGTGGACCAGGTGGGTTTTGGGGGAACAGGGCACTTAAAAGGGCAGTCACTATTCAGTCCACTTCTCCAATATAACTTTTTAATACCAGCTAATTGTGTAGAGGACACTTTCTGTGCTCCAGGTAGCAAGGGTTTCACATGTTTTATCTCATTTAATCCTTCCAATATTCCTATGAGGTAGATTAGTGATACCCAAACTTCAGTGTACATCAGAACCCCAGAAGGGCCGGTTAAAACACAGACTTCCAGGTACCTGCAAACCCCCAGAGTTTTTGAACCTGGAGGGTGGGGGTGGGGACTGAGAATTTACATTTCAAATAAGTTCCCATGTGATGCCCATGCTGCTGCTGTGGGGGCCACCCCGGACATCACTGAGGTAAACATTGGTGTTTTCTCCATTTTATAGATAAGAAAACTGAGGCACAATGAGGCAAAGCAACTTGCCCAGGGTCACACAGTGGTGAGGAGCAGTGGCATACCATTAATCCAAAGCAGTCTGGCTCCCAGGTCTACATTCTTAACCACTACAGTAAATGCTTAAGGAGAACATCCTGATCTGTAACTACAGGGCAAGCTAAACACATCTGCTAGCCAAGCCTAGCCTTTCTATGCTCCAAACCTACAATAAAGTCAGCCACATATGCAAATATTCTGTGTAGATGATGCAGGACAAATAACAGAATAAGGCCTGTTTCTACAGCTGAGATGATATGTTACCATCTGGGCAGGGAGGGGACCCATCTACAGCTGGGACCATCAGAACCAGGAGTCTGGAGCTCAAGATGGTGATGGGAAAAGCCCTTACCCAAGAACTGACAGTCTGAGTATCTGGGATGCTCTGGCAGAGCTCAGTCTCAAGGGGACCACACACACAGGTGGCACTGGAAACAAGGGAGTCATGGGACCCACCCACTCCTGGCCATAGCTGTCCTGCAGATCTTGTAGGTGGTGGTTCTCCCACTGTGGCCGCAGCCCCACACACAGCAACGGAAACCAGCCCTCCTGGGCCATGGCAGTGAAGTAGTCAGTGAAGCCAGCAAATGATTGGATGGCACCTGGGGAGAGGCAAGGAGACACAGGGAGACAGGAACACAGGGAGAGAGGGACATAGAAAGACAGGGACACAGACATATACAGAGAGGATCAGGGATACGCACAGAGACAGGAACAAAGAAAGTGACATAAGACAGGAACATAGACACTGACAGACATGGAGAGACAGACACAGAGAGAGAAAAGGACCCCAAGAGAGATTGACAAGGACACAAGAGACAGGGCACAAAGAGAGACAGAGACACCTAGAGAACCCAAAATAACAGAAGGAGGCAACACTCCAGAGACAGAGTCATAGAGAATAGGGCTAGAGACAGAGAAGGGACACGGAACCATAGAGACAATCACGTGCAGATAAAGACTCAGAGAATGACAGAGATCCAGGATCAAATGCAGACACTGAGATCCAGAACAGCCAGAGCCCCAGTCTGAGCCCCCGAGGCAGGTGAGCAGCCCAGATAGAGAGCCCTGGGATTCCTGGCCTCTGGGCACTCACCAATCTGGAAGTAGGAGTAGGCAGCCAGGGGTTCGTTGACCAATCGGTCACGCTTCGGGTTTCGTGGACGCAGATGCATGATGTCACTCTCAGCCTTCTCATATGCCAGTGACACAGATGGGAACTGCCCAGGAGTGGAAGGAACCAGGGTTAAGGGTTTCCCTGGGCCCCTGTCCCCACTCTCTGGAGTGACCCTGCTCCCTGCCCCTATCCCTGGGCAGGGGTAGGACTGAGGTTAGGAGACAGGACCTGCAGTGACCACACAGCCACACCTGCCTGGACAGCCTGGGTCCAGTTGGTCCCTGTCAAGAGAGTTGGCATGTCCACTTTGTATCTGTATCCTGGTGTCCATCTCCATCAGAACATCTGCATTTATCTCCACTATTGCATGTTTCCTCCTCCTCTCTGTCTCTGTCTCCCTTCCTTTCTGCCTCCTCCTCCTCTCTCTGACTCTGTTTTTTCTCTGGGGTACTCTGGCCTTGGCCTCTCTCTGTCTGTCCTTTACTCTGTTTCTTTGTCCCTGTTGCTGGTCTCTCTCTTCATGACTGTGTTTCTGCTTTTGTGTCTCTGTGTACCTGTCTCTATTTCTCTGTCGCTCTATTTCTCTGTGTCCCTTCTGTCTCTGTGTCCCTGTGTCTTCCTCCTCATCTCCCAACCCATCTGTGTGTGACTACAGAGTGGCAGCAGAATATACTAATTGTGAGCACAGGCTCTGGGACATCCTACTACCTGGGCTCAAATCCCAGCTGTCACTTATTAGCTGTGTGACCTAGGGCAAGACACTCAACCTGCCTATGCCTTAATTAGTTCATCAGCAAAATGGGGTGATAAATAAAATCCATGTCATAGAGTGGTTATGAGGACAAAATTAAGTAAATTAATGTGTGCCTGGCCCAAAGTAGGCACTATGTAAGTGTTGTTGAATAAACATGTCAACATGGCCATGATGGCTGCATTTGTGGCTGTATCTGTGGCTCGTTTCTGTCTGTCTGCCTTGAGGTCTATCTGATAGTGTTTATTTGTCCATGGCTGTTGGAGGATACCTATCTGCAATCCAAGTTGAGCCAGATATCTGTTAATATCTCTGTTTGTCTGAGTGTCCAGATCTGAGTTCATGTGTGTCCAGGGATCTGTCCATGCCTACCTGAGTGTCCACCTATGTTTCCACATCCATAGTTCTGTGTCTACCTGTCTGCCTGTGTCTCTGCATCTGGCTAGCTGTTGTACACACATCTTGTCTGTGTTGCTCTGTGTCCAAAAATGTCCATGGTGGTCTCTACCCACCATGTCTGTCCATGGGCATATGTCTGTGGGCATGTGTGGGCGGAGCATTGGGGATGTAGACTCACAATATCAGTGCAGAGTTCTATGAAGAGGATGGTGATGCACCCCAGGGGCAAGGGCACGCTGACAGTTATATAAATGAGGTATGGCGTCAGTTCAGGAATATTCTTGGTCAATGTGTAGGCAATGGACTTCTTCAGGTTGTCAAAGATCAGTCGGCCTAAAAGAGTACAGCAGGCACCTCAGCCTCCTCACAGCCCCACTTCTTCCTGTGCCCACACTGCCTGCCCCCTTCTCTGACCCAGCCCAGACCCTGCTCCACGCCCGTCACAATGGAGGCAAAATTATCATCCAGCAGGATCATGTCGGCTGCATTTTTGGCAGCATCTGAGCCAGCAATGCCCATGGCCACGCCAATGTCTGCCTTCTTCAGGGCTGGGGAGTCATTCACACCATCCCCTGTCACAGCCACAATTGCACCCTGCAGGGAATGGATACAGGTGGGCAGGTGATGAGAGGCCAGCCCAGGGCCAGCCCAGCCCATCTGCCCAGCTTCATCAACAGGGTCGCACCAGTCGCTGGCAGCTCTCCACAATCACTAGCTTCTGCTGGGGACTGGTGCGAGCAAACACCATCTCAGGGTGGGTGCGCAACACCTCAACCAGCTCTGATGGGTCCATGTCCTTCAGCTGCATGCCATTGATCACGCAGGCACGGGCATCCCTGGGAAAGGAGGTGGGAGGGAATCACTGGGCCTCAGTCTGCACGGGGCGTGGGAAGAATCATGGGGAGGTCTTAAGGGGGCTTACTTCCGATTAACTTGGTCCACAGGCACACGGAGACGGGCAGCAATGTCCTCCACTGTCTCGCTGCCTTCTGAGATGATGCCCACACTGGCTGCAATGGCCTTCGCCGTGATGGGGTGATCACCTGTCACCATGATCACCTGTGGGAAGGACCAGCAAATCTTTGACCCCTTCAGATCCGCCTTCAAATCTCTCTTTCCTCCCTGGTGGATGTCTACTGTTACACTCACTCATTTATTCAACCAATGGTGACCACCCGCTATTTGCTTGGGAAACAGCGGGGACAAAACAGATAAAAATCCCTGTCCTCGTGGAACTGACATTCTGGTGTGGGAGACAGAAATTTTTAAAATTAAGAAACGAATTATATCTCATGTTAGAAGGAGGGAGGAAAGTTAAACTGGGTACAGGGGATGGCAAGTGTTGGGTGGAAAAGTGATGGTTCAGTTTTAAGTGTGTCCAGGAAAAGCCTCGTGTGACATTTGAGAAGAGACCTGAAAGAGGTGAGAAGTAGCCACGTGGAAATCTGGGGGAAAAGTGTTCCTGGCAGAGGGAACAGCCAATACAAAATGAGAGAGGTGAGAATATGCCTGAACTGTTGGAGGAACAGCAGGCAGGCCAACGTGACTAGCGAGGACTGAACAGAGGTAGAGAGCTAAGGAATGAGCTTAGAAAGATAACAGCACCCAGATCTTATAGTACATTACAGACCGTGGGAAAGACTTGGGTGATGTTTGTTCGGCATTAGCTCCCCACTCTTGATTTGTCTTTAGGGAACCACCCTTCCCCTCAGGTTGAAGTTGAGGTCCCTGGCCAAGATTGGGCAAGTAAGCCCAGACCTGGCCAACCAAAGTATTCTATCCCCCAGCCACAGTGACTGCTTCGGAGATGAACATGTGATCCAATCTAGAACAACTGTAAAAAAAGGCACTCTTTTTCTGTGAGGTGACTAAACAGGTAAGTTAGATCTGCTGGGGGGTGGTCATCTTTGTCCACCAAATGTAGGGACTGCTTGAGAATATAGCCAGAAAGAGAAAAGCAGAGCTGAGAAAAGAAAAGACAAATTTCTAATGACACAGAACTCTTGGATCTAGCTATATCTGAAGCTCCATTCCCCCAAAACTTTTTAGTTTCATGAACCGATATAATCCCTTTTTAGTTCAAGTGATTTTCAGATGTGACAGAAATACTGCCATCCTCTGTTCTTGCCCCTGCTTGGTCCTTTCCCCAGTGGCATACCCGGATTCCTGCTGTGCGGCACTTGAGCACGGCATCGGGGACAGTGGCCCGGGGCGGGTCTATCATGGATACAAGTCCCGCAAAGCACAGACCACTAGTTGGAAAGTTCATAGCCTCCACGTCGAATGCATAGCCAGGCGGGTAGTCCTTCTCACTCAGGTAGAGCTGGCAGAAGCCTGACCAGAAAACAGGTAAGTCAGAGAGGAGCCCTGGGCGGACCCTTCCCTAGCAAGGCCAGGTGATGAGTAAAATAACCAAGCCCCTTGCACCAAGCACACACGGATGCCTGACTGAGTGCTGAATCCTTTGTTTACATTATCCGAATCCATTCTCACAACTATCTTGTGAGGCTGTTATCATCTTCATCTTTCAGATGAAGAAAATGAGGATTAGAGAGGGGACAATTCTTGCCAGTGGTCACACAGTAAGTAAAATGAAAACTCTAGAATGGACCACAGCTCTGTGCCTTCCAAGGTTGAAGCAGGGGTTAGGGAAGTTCAAGGAGTCAAGACAAAAATTGGGGGAGGTCAGAGGTCAGGACAAGGATTGGGGAAAGTCTTGAATTGAGGCAAGTCTAGGGAAAGTCAAAGGGTCAAGAGGAAGCCTCTGAAAGGTGGAGGTGAAAACAAAGGTAGGTTATCAGTTGGGGCAAGAGCTAGGAACACTAAGGTGTCAAAGGTCAGAATTGGAAAGGTCCATGTGAGGACAGGTCCAGAGGGATGGGGTCAAGGTAGGAATTGAAGACAGAGATCAGGAGTGAGGGAAAGGCAAAGGTGAGTGTGCGGATGGGGCAGGTCAGCTGTCAGCCAGGAATGGGAAAAATCAGGATCAGGGCTGTCCCTGGAAGATTGGGTTGGGTCTGTTCTAGCTCCTCCTCGCACACCGGTTACCCCCTACCCGACCCTGGGGGTCTCACCCAGCACCCGTTCTCCCAAGCCTCCCAGGCTGAGGTAGGCAGTCTGGAAGGCCTCACGCCATTGCTCATCGAGGGGCAGCTCCTGGCCCTTGATGAGGATAGAGCTACAGCGCTCCAGCACACGCTCTGGAGCGCCCTTCATCACCAGCACGTGCCGCGGGTCCCGCGGGTCCTCCAGTGTGTGGATGGACAGCTGTGGGCGGGGGAGAGGAAGGTGTTGTGGGCGAGGTCAAGAGGAGAAGGGGCGCTGTCGCAAGAGCATTGGGAGGGTAAGGTAGGGGCTGGGCAGGTCCATGCTAGAGGCAGAGGTTTGGGGCAGGGCTAAGGGTGTAGTTAGGGGTCTGGGCGCAGGGAATGGACCGAATTAGCTACCGGAGTTGGGCTGGACGGGATCTGGATTGCGAGCTATCTCCCACCCATGGCCTGAGAGCCCCGGGCTAAGGGGTTGCGGGCGTGGCCTGGCCATAGGTGGGTTTTGGCGGTGGATAAGACAGGAGATGTGGGAGGGGTTTGGCTGTGGAGAGGGAGGAGACCGAGGGCCCCCCATAGGTCTGCCCTGAATGTGGTGGGGCATGCGAGGGGGGGGAGGGGGCTCGCTGTGGGCGGGGAAGGCCGCGGCAGGTGCACACCTGGAACTTGTTGGTGGAGTTGAAGGGTATCTCGCAGACTTTGGGGAAGCGCTCGCGGTAGCCCATAGCGTTGCCCAGCGTCAGCTCTGAGAACTTTAGCAGCGCTGTCTCGGACGCATCCCCGATCACGATGCGCTACGAGCGGAGGCCTGTGTCAGGGACGAGCCCGGCTGCCCCAGGCTCCCAGTATCCCCCGAGTCCACCCGGCTCTCACCTTGGGCACCGGCACCGCATCCTGGCCAGACTTGAAGGCAGCGCGGTTGCACAGGGTGAGCACGCGGCACAGCGCCCGCCATGTCTCCGAGGACTGGTCAAACGTCTGCCCTGAAGGCCAGGCGTCCAGGCTGGAGCCGTGAGGGGTCTCCGTGCGGGCACCAGACCCGGCGCAGCGGCTCTCCCACACCAGAACCGAGCCCCTCCCCCTAGATTCAGGACAGGATGCCCTCCCCAAGACCTGGGTGGTACCCAAACGCCTTCTTCTAACCCGGGACAGGAGCCTCCTCTCCAGACCCAGTATCGAGTCTCCTAAGAGAGTCCTATGAGACTCCATACCAAGCACCCTCACAGACCTGGAGCTTAGCTCCCTGCTAGGACCCTGGACCCGGTCTTCTCCCCTCTCCATTAAGGCAAAGCCCTCCCGAGGCTCCCTTCAGTAATCTCGGAGCTCCCATCTAGGTGTCCACCTCTACCATATCCTTGCCGCAGCCCCTGTCTCCTCCCACCCCCACACCTGACTGGTCTTCCGTAGTGTCAGCTGAGTGGATGTGGTTGTCGAACCACAGATGAGACACAGTCATGCGGTTCTGAGTGAGGGTCCCCGTCTTGTCAGAGCAGATCACTGACGTGGAGCCCAGTGTCTCCACTGCTTCCAGGTTCTTGACTACACAGTTCTTGCTGGCCAGCCGCTTGGCTGTCAGGGACAGGCAGACCTGGGGGAAGGGTGAGAAACTCCGTGTGGGGACCGGTCCTTGCTTTTAGTCCCTCTTCCCTCCTCTCACAGCATTGGAGATCCTTTACCCGAGCCACAGGAGTGAGTATGTGGCATTCTTCCACAGAACCCAGGCTTTTTCTTGCCTCCACACTTGTCCAGCCTGTGCTTTCTACTTGGGATGCCTCCCCAATCTGCCCAGATAAATGTAGCCAGGCCCCTCTGTAAGCTGCCCTAGCTGAGGTTCTGTAACTTCTATGATCAACACAATCAAAATGAGAAAACGAACATCCCCTCCATCCCCTCTGAGCTGACCATTGAAGGCTGCCCATATCAGACCTCGGCCTCCTTCAGTAAAGGATCCTGCCCATTCATCTCTGGCACAGGACATGACCCAGAGTAGCCTCAGTGAGTTTTTGCTGAGTGGATGAATAGGTGGAGAGATGGGAGGTGGGAGTGTGGAAAGATGGGTGATGAGAAGGTGGGTGGGAAGATGGGAGGTGAATGGATAGATGGACAGCTAGGGAGATGGTGGAGGGAAGCCTGCATGAATAGACAGATGTACAGCCCTCTCAGCTCTCCGTACCACTCTTCTGCCTCCAAAACTTACCGTGACAGTGGCCAGCAGCCCCTCAGGAACATAAGCTACCACAATGGCCATGAAGAAGACCATGGCCCGCAGGAAAGGGTAGCCAATGCACATGGCCACCACAAAAAATGTGGCACCAAAGAGAATGGCCAGGCCTGCGATGATGTCCACAAAATGTTCAATCTCGATAGCAATGGGTGTTTTCTCATTTTCTACTCCAGATGCCAGTGATGCGATGCGCCCGATGATGGTGCGGTCACCCGTGTTCACCACCAGGCCCTGAGCTGTGCCTGCAATGGGGCCAAGAGGGTGACTAAGGGCCAGGTGGGCAGCAATAGGGGCATGCACAGCAGTGTGAAATGAAGGAGGGGGCAATAATGGAGGGCAGTAGAAACAGTGTGGCCTTGGAAGAGGGTAGCAACAATGGGAACTAGAGAAGTCGTGTGACCTAAAGAGGCGGCAGTCATTTGAAGTGGGGAGGCAGAGTATCTCAGAATGTAGCAGAAGGGCAGTGGAGGCAGCAATGGGGAATGTGGAGGCAGTGTGGTCAGCTGGGCGGGCAGGCAGGGGCCTCACAGACCCTCAAGGCACATGGTGGAGAAGAAGGCGATGTTGCGGGTCTCCAGGGGACTCTCGTGTGTACAGTCGGGGGAGCGGGTCTGTGGCTCAGACTCTCCAGTCAGCGAGGAGTTGTCCACCTTGCAGCCCTGGGCCTGGAGGATGCGGATGTCGGCTGGCACTCGATCGCCACCTTTCATCTCCACCAGGTCACCCACCACAAGCTGATCTGCATTGATCTGGAACTTGTCCCCATCTCGGATAACAGTTGCTTGCTGTGGGGCAGGGACACCAGAGTTGAGGTGGGCAGCGCTTGGAGGTGGACGTTGTTGAGTGCAATGGGGATGTGAGAGATGAACAAGCGGGGTAGTTGAGGATCTGTGGGGAGAGATGGAGGCCAAGGACGAAGCGTAGGTTGGGCCTGATGGGAGGGGGCCACACAGAGATGCCAGGAGCCTGCCTGAGCCTGTGTGGAGTCTCTGGAACCTGAAGCAACAGGGCGCTGGGGGACCCACCTGGGGCACAAGGTTCTTAAAGCTGGCAATGATGTTGGTGCTCTTAAACTCCTGATAGTAGCCGAAGCAGCCAGTGACCACAACCACAGCGATAAGGGCCAGTGCCAGGTACAGCTGGGGAAGGGGAGTGGTGGCTTATGAGTATGGGCTGGAAGCTTCCTGCACGAAGCCACCCGCCTGGTCCCGTGGTATTCTTGGGGTCACTTCCACTCTGGTTTTCCCCACTCCACTAAGAAGCCTCATGCACTATTCCCTGTGGCCCTCAACCCCTGTCCCCATATTCTTCATATCCCACATTTGACTGCCCTATATTCTCAGTGTCTTGTGTGTCTCTCTCTCCCTGTATTTGATATTCTCTGGCCCCTGAATCCTAGGTGTCCCACAGCCCCACATCCTATAACTTGTGCACTTTGGTTATATTTGTTCCCTTTTCTTGTCTCCTCCAAGTCTTGCATTCCACATGTCCACTGCCATGTGCTTCCTCGTGTTCCTACGTCCTATATTCATTCCTTGTGCTACAAGTTTCATGTTCTGTGTTTTCATAATCTGCATTCCATCCTCTTTGTCCCCTCTGTCCAGTAGTTCCTGTGCCCTAATGTCCCCATTCCATGTCTGTATAATTGATCTTATTATGCTTCATATTCTGTGAACTACATTATTGTGTCCCATGTTCTAAGTTCCAAGTCTCTATGTCCAATGTCTCCCATGTCTATATACCTCTAGTCTCTACCCTATGTTACATTTAATGTCACATGTCCCTAAGTCCCCAAGTCTCCTTGTCCCTTTTTCTGACCCCTGTCATATGTTCAATGTCCTCTTGTCCTGTATCTTATTATTCTGTGTCTCTGTGCTTCCATGTCTAGTGTCTTATGTCTCTCCTTATACCATGATCTGAGGTTTGTCTCCCTTATGGCCCTCGGCCCTTGTGTACCATGTCTGAGTTTCAATGTCCTCTGTGCCCTCTGTCCTTGATCTATCCCATGTCCTCTGTTTTCCAAGTCCTATATCTTAAATATTACATTTCTTTGTATCACCACCTACATCATCTATACCTGAGACACATTCTCCCCTGTATCCCCTGTGACCTTGGGTCCGTTCTATATCCGAATGTCCTTCATCCTCCCCATGACCATGTCTTAGAACAGCATTTCTGTGTCTCTATATCCCCACCCTATGTCCCTAGTGTCCTGAATCCTATGTTTAATGTCCTCTGTCCTGCAGGTCCCTGTGTCCCATATCTGACCCCCCAGCACCCACCACTCACATTGTCATCGGTGGTGAGGTCACCCTCACTGGCCTGGATACCAAAAGCAATGAGGCAGATGGCAGCAGCTACCCACATGAGGCATTGCAGACCTCCTGCCAGCTGCCGTGCAAACTTGATGTACTCCGGGGTACCCTTTGGCGGCCGCAGTGCATTGGGTCCATCACGCAGCAGCAGTTCTGCTGCCAGGCTGGCAGACAGGCCCTGGGGACAGGACGGGGTGGGGCGGTGGTGGCTGCTAAGGGCTTTCCTCTCCTCATACACCCCTCAGGGTGGTGGCTCTTCTCTCTCTTCTCCTTCCCTCTCTCTGTCTCCCCTACCCCTGCTGTCTGACCTTTGCCTCTTCATTTCTTTCTTCCTCTTTGTCTCTGTTCCTGTCCCTTCCCCTTCCCTCCTTGATGTCTCTTTATGACTCTGTCCACTCTCATCTTTTTTGTCCGTGTCTTCCTGTTGTCTCTGCCCCCATTTCTCTCTCTCATGCCGATCTCTCTGCCTCTCTCTGTCTCTTTTTATCGGCTTCTCTTACTCTGTCTCTCTCTCTCTGTTTAGCTTTTTCTTTCTAATGCATTTTCCCTTTTTTCTTCCCCTGTCTCTCCCTCTCCACCTCTCCACCTCTCCACCTCTCCCCTTCTCTGCACTCACTCTCCCCTCTGCCCCCAGCTCACCTTGGTCACACTGGTCTGGTATTTCTGTTCCAGCTCCGCCACTGACAGCTGGTGGTCGTTCTGTGTGGTGGGGGCAGGACATTTACTGTCCAGCTCTCACTGGCCCCCACCCCAGCCCCATACCTGGCCCCCTAGCCCCATACTCACGATCTCCATCTCCTTCTTCATGTTCTCCAGCTTCTCCTTCCTCTTGCCCCCACCACTGCCTGCCTTCTTCTTGCTCATCTTGGCTGCCATGTCCCCACCAGGGCCAGGGCCTAGTTCTACCGAGTATAGCTCGTAATTCTCCTGGGGACAGAGGAAAAAGGGAGGCATCAGATCCCACTGGAACCCCTGCCTCCAGCCTCCAACCCCCCAACCCCTGACCTCAGGCCCCACTCACTGCCTTCCCCATGGTGTCTAGTGCAGCCACCCTCCTTTGCCAAGACAGAACATGGGGTCTGGACCAGCCCTGATATACCCAGGGAAGGAGGAGGTGGGGCAGGACTGGCCCAATTACAGCTGATTACAGGGCTCCTTGGGGTGACCTCTAGGCCTGGGCAGCTCAGGCATTCCTTACCAGGCCAACCAAACCTGCCCAGACCCCATCACAACCTGCCACTGAGATCAGGGAGCCAGTGGGACTATCCGTGGTAACAAGAAGAATAGCAAACATATGGAGCTCATTTTGTGCCAGGCACTGTGCAGAGAGCTTTCATGTTTTGACTTATTTAACCTCAGAACAAGCCTTTGAAGTGAGTACTGTTCTGACCCTGCCTTACAGATGGGGAAACTGAGGCACAAAGAGGCAAAGTCACTTGCTCACAGTCCCCAAGGTAGAAAGAGTCCTGAAAGAGTCAGGACTCAGAACTAGATATGTTGCCTACAGAGTGTCCATTTTCAGGCCATATTGCATATGCTGCACTTGGAAGGGGAGCGTGCTCACAACGGTTCAGTAATGGACTCCGTTTAGGAGGCACTTACTGTGTGCTGGGTCTGCCCCATGCGCTTTGTGCAAATGCTTCATTAGCTCCTCATAGCAGCCTTATAAAGTTATGTTCTCTTATTAGACCCCATTGTACAGATGAGGAAACCAAGGCATGGAGAGGTTAAGGACTTTGCCTAAGGTCCCACTCACTGCCTTCCCCATGGTGTCTAGTGCAGCCACCCTCCTTTGCCAAGACAGAACATGGGGTATGAGTAAGTATTAGGGACAGGATTCAAGCCCAGATTGGACCCTGGAGCCTGGCTCTCATAAAGGATCACCAATGAAAAACCCCAACTTCACAGCTGCAGTGCCAAATATGTGCCAGGTACTAGGTCCTTGATATTCATACTTGGGCCTCAGGGGTGGAGGTGCCTCCAGGGGCAGGTTTGTGTATATCTGATAAGATAATTGCCTCGGTAATGTCCTTCTCCTCTGGGGCAGGTCATCTGAGAAAGTCAAAGCTGTCGAGCAGCCTAGCTCCTCCCCACACACACCCAGCTGGTCATCTCCAGCCTGCTACAGGAAACCCCAAGAGAGAAGCAGGTAAGGCTGCAGTCACGCTGACTGCCCTTACAATGGATCCACTTGCTCATTGAGACTTCATCTCTCTGGGGCACACACGTAAAACAGCTTGTGTCAGTCCCCTGCTTACAACCCTTCAGAAGCTTCCCTTCTCTCTCAGAATAAATGCCACAATCATTTCTACAAGATCTGGCTCCAGCTCACCTCTCTGAGCTCAGTCACTAATACGATTCCACTGGCATTGGCCTCCTTGTTGAGCTTTATACAGGTCAAGGTCATTCCCATCCCAGGGCCTTTGCACTTGCAGCTCCTGCCTGGTACTCTATCCTTAGATATCTGCATAGTTTTGTCACCTCTAGGTCTCAGCTCAAATGTCACCTCTTCAGAGAGTCCTCACTTGTAATATTATACCCCTATCATACTTCACCCCCTTACTCTGCTTTACTCATATCCCTTATCCCAATGTGACATTGTATTTTATTTTTATTTATTTTGGCGTCAATCTTATTGTGCTAGAAGAAAGACTGGGACTAAGTTGTGTTTGCTGATGTTGCACAGCACCCATAACAGTGCCCTGCACACATAGTAGATGCTCCATAAACATTCCTGAATGTTGAACAGGACCCATTTCACCAGATGGTTGAGAATATTCACCAACAAATTCGGCTCACTGGGAAGGCCCTCCGGAAGTCTCAGTCACTGGGAACTCCTCAGTGCCCCTCATGTCTCCAGCCACCCCACTCCTCTCCGCCAGCAGCTAGTGTCCAGGGCTTGGGGCAGATAAGGGGATCATGCCTGCACAGATTATGGAACCTCACAACCTAAGTCATAGATGGAGAGACCGAGGCACCATCACTGGCAGCCGATGGCTGACTCACAGTACTGTGTAGACCTTTGTCAAAACTTGGGGACTGTCCTTCCTAGTCTCTACCTCATTTGTTTTAGTTCTCATTTCTTAGTTTTATTATTTTATGTTAATTTCCAACTTTTTAAATATTTCATACCTGCAAATTACAGGGATAGTAAAAGGACTACCTGCCCACCCTTCATCTAAATTTAATGATTTGACCACATTTGTACTTTCTAGATAGATAGACTTTTTTAAGATTTGGCTAAATCATTTGAGAGTAAGTTGGAGATAAGATGCATATTCATAAATACCCAGGCATGTGCCTGCTGTGCATAAGGACATGGTTATGTACTCTCTTACATAACCATGGTCCAATGACCAAATTCAGGAAATTAACACTGATATGACATTATTAGTTGCTCTAGACAATTTATTTGAATTTCTCCAGTTTTCCCACTCATGTTCTTTTCTTGGTCCAGGATCCAATTTAGGATCATACTTTGCACTTCATTGTCACATCTTCTGAGTCTCTTCCAATTTGCGGCATTTCCTCAGTTTTTCCTTGTCTTTCATGACCTCGATAATTTGGAAGAGTATTAGTTATTATGTAGAATTCCCCTCAGTTGGGGTTTGCCAATGGTTCCTCATGATGAGATTTAGATTATGCACTTTTGGCCAGAACACACCGTGATGTTTGACCACTGAGCATCTTGTCAGGATGGGCCTCATTTTTGAGTCCAGAATAAGACAGACATTTGGGGATACCGAGAGGCTTAGGGAATGACCAGAGGGCTATTCTATGATCTCTTTATTTTCTATCCCAAACACCATCACAGCCTCGCTGGCACTCAGCTGTACCGATGATTAAAGTAATAGAAACACAGCTAACTGCCTGAGCCCCTACACCTCCCACACCCTGTCACCTTCGGCTGCCCTCCCAGCCAGACCTTATTCCAGCCCCACAACCTTGTCCATTCTGACTGGTCGGTACCCAGCCATGTTGGCAGTTAAATATTTTTACCACCCTCCCTGATTACACAGCCTTCAGATGCTACTCAAGTTCTGTGTCTTTGAAGAAGGAGGGTCTTGTGCATTTATTTGTTCATTGTGTGCCCAAGAAAGCAATCCTAAGTTGTATCGGGGAGTGGACACAGGCTATTGCCCACAGGCAGGATCTGGGTAAAGCAGGCTGGGTGAGGGGGATGGGGCAAGATTGCCACCTTCTTTGGCACCCTTGAGCAGAGCTGGGGTTGACTGATCCATTCCAGCTGACTGCCAACTCCTGACATGACCTGGGAGCATTGGCTTCTCACGAGAATGTTGCAAGATGTAACATGGTCTATTTCGGCACAGTACTGCAAGATTTCTCTGAGCCTGGGAACATAGATCATTGGAGAATTTTTTGAGAACAGTGAATGGTCAGGACTGAAAAAGGTTTTTTCCTGAGAAAGATAGGGCAGAGGATAAGCTATCAAATGGATGGTGAACACTGAGTGGGTTTTAAGGGAAACTTGAACGAGTCTCCTAGAATCATGACCACACACACTCTTAGAGACTCAGTGCCCTACAAAGCCTGATGAGATCAGACCCCTGGCTTTCCTTCTTTCTTTTTGTGTACCCTGTTCCTCTTTCATGCTTTAGGACTCAGTACCTGCCCCTTCCCCCTTTCTGTGTCTTCTGTTTGTTAAAAGTAGCATTTCAAGACCTTGGCACATGCAGTTTCTTCTGCCTGAAACACTCACCTCGCACCAGGCTGAGTCAGGACTTCTCCTGGGCTCCCACAGAAACCAGGTTTCCCCATCCCAGCCTTTTTCACTCTGACCCTTAATTCCTCCATCACAAGCCTAACCACTCTGGATATCAATATTTGGTGACATTTCATCTCCCCCCTGGACTCATGAGGACAGAATCTAGGATGTCTCAGTCCCTGCTGTGACCTGCATTACCCAGCCAAGGGCTGACCCAGGCTGGCCTCAAGGAGTGTTTGCTGAGTGAAAGAACTCATTGTGACAGACTTTTGGTATGTGTTTGGTCTCTGATAAGATAGTGGAGTCAGCAGTGCCCTTAATCTCCTGGGCAGGTCACCACGCCATGCTCCCCTCCCCCCATTCCAGACCCTAGGAAGATTAAAGCTAGGGGCTAGGCAGGCAGGGACCATCTCCCTCCTCTTCAAGCTAGCGTAGCAGTAGGTAGTAGGTCAAGGTCTGACAGCCAGGTCTCCCTGTGTTCTGTTCTTCTCCCACCTTTGTCCACAAGTGGAAAGGTCAGCCATCCTCAGGAAATTGCCAGGCTGTCCTTATCTGGGATCTTAAGATTATATCCAGAATGCAACCATCTCTCTCTTCTCCTCTGTTCCCACTCTAGTACAACCTCCATCCTCTGCCTCCTGGACATCAGAGCTGCCTCCACCCTGGTCTCCTGCTTTAGTCCCCACCCCTACAGTGTGCTCCCCACATGCAGCCAGAGGGAGCCTTTGAACTCCTGAGTCAGGTCAGGGCCCTCTGGGCCCAGAACCTCCCTGGCTGTACCTCACTCCTGGTAAAAGGAAAGTCCTCGCTTTGGTGCCAAAGGCTACCGGTGATCTGCCCTGTTGCCTCTCTGACCTCACCTTCCATTTTCCACCTGACCTATCCCATTCCAGCTGCACCAGCTCCCTGCTGGGCCCGCTGCTTCCCGGCCTTTGCATGTGCTATTTCCTCACCCTGGAATGCTCTTCCCCCAGACATCTGCATGGCTCCCTCTCTTTCTCTATCAGGGCTTTGCACAGATGTCGTCTTCCTAGTAAGATCTCCTTGACTAGCCTAGTTGAACTTGTAACCCAGTTTCCCACCAGCCCTCTCCATATCCATTACCTTCTCCATTCTCCCCTCCCCCATAGCACTTATCACCCCCTAACATCCTATATGTTTTTTTCTTATTGGGTTTCTTGTATATTTTCTGAAT